GCCGTTCCAGTTGAGAAATTTACGTAGGTTTGAAGGGCCCAGAACGGGCCGTTCCGCTTTTAGAACGGGCCGTAGTGGTAGGTGAGCCAGAATTCCTATAAATAGGGGGCTTCACTTCTCATTTTTCACACACCTCTCATTCTCATTCTTTCTTCTCTTCTGTTCTCTCTTCTTTTCCTCTCCTTCTTTCTGAAGACCAAGAGGAATCTAGAGGAGGAGGAGGTTCTGCCCTAATTCCTATTTATCCAGGTATGGGAAAAAAGGGATTATTTATATGTAGAGTTACATAAGAGAATTAGGTAGAGGAAGAGCCCTTAGGGTTATGAGTAATTTATAATTATTTCTGTTTGGAAAATTAATTGTCTTATGTGATTCTATATATCTTTAAGACTACGAATATATGATTTATTTGTAAAAATGATGCTCTGGAAGAGAGAACGAAATTATAGGAAAGTGCCTGTAAGTTAGGTTGTGAAAAATTGGATGATTTCTGTTTGAGGAATTGATGATCCCATTAGATTTTGTATATGTTGAGGATTATAAATATGCTAATAATTTGTAAGAATGATGATCTGGGAGAGAGAACGAAATTGTAGAAAAGTGCCTGTGAGCTAGGTTTTGGAACAATTGGGGATTTTACTGTTTATGTTAAAATTATATTAAATTGATAATTCTATTGTTTATTATATTAATTTATGAATGTTATTGTTATATTATTTAATAAGAATTGATGATCTAGATGTGAATTGCTTGAGGGATGTGTAAACCCTTATTTTGTTAGACTTATCTGTTGAGTATGTGATATGGAATTGTGTATGTGATATGGAATCGTGATATGAGATGAGATGTTGTATGGACATGATTAAGAATGTGATTGCGATGTGTTTCCTCACACTAATGACTAGGGATGGCACGACCCCTGGGTAAGTGGTGCTACAGGGAGGGCGTGACCCTAGCATGGTGTGGGATGAGTAAGACAGTTAACACGTATCACTTATGTCAAATATGGCAGCCCTGACATAGGGTTAATTGCAAGAGATTGTGTGGATTGCGATGTGATTGTGGTTCCTCACATCAATGACTAGGGATGGCACGGCCCCTGGGTAAGTGATGCTACAGGGAGGGCGTGACCCTGGCATGGTGTGGGATGAGTGAGGCAATTAACCCGTATCACTTGTGTCAGTTGTGGCGTGGCCTTGGCATAGTGTTAATTGTATGATTGGTGTGAATTGTGATGGATTGAGATATGGATGTGAAATGAGATATGTGGAATGTGAATAAGATGCGAGTGTGAATTCTTGTACTGATAACCCGTATCACTTGTGTCAGATTTGGCGAGGTCTTGGTATAGTGTTAATTGTAAGATTGACTTGAATTATGGATGTGGAAATGATATTGTTAATCGTAAAATTGTGTGGATGGTGATGGATTGATAAATTATGATACATGCTTATATATATGAATTATGATGAGATTTCATTATGATTTGGTTGAATGTACTTTGCATATAGATATTTTCTTTTCTCACCGTATAAATTGTGGATGTTTTAAGTGAGGAAGATCCGGCTACGAGTAGAATGCCAACAGTTGAATTGTGGGTATGCTCTGATATTGTGACATCGGGGCAGAGGATTTTTAGGACATAGATTTTATATGGATTTGGAATTGTAAATATGATTTTGAAAACAATTTGTAAACTTTCAAGTTTTATTTTCAATTATTATGTTGGTTATTGATAAATGAATATGAAGGTTTTATGTGAACCCTTTTACCAACGTTAAAAATTTTATTCTTTAGTTTATTTATATGATTAATATTTATATATGTGTTGAGGTAGTAAGGGTGTCACAGATTTGATTAAGTCACAAGTGAAACTAGCAGGACAAAAGAATACTTCATAATTTGCACTTACAAATATTGTTCAGAGGATGGTATCGAGTTATATGTACCCAAGACAAGGCAAGACAAAATGGCAATCAGATACTTGAAATGTTACCTCCAAACATATATTGTCGGGAACAAATTTGGCAAGTTCTGCTTCATCCAATTTTGCTCTGTATGTTGCAGAGAATGCTTCAATATCTTCCATGCTGGGGGAACCAGACCTATAGCAGAAGAACTCAACAATTAAGCTAGAGATCCACTATAACAGCAAGTTCAGCTGCAGTTCATGCAGAAATGTAATAATAATTCAAGCCACAAACTGCATTATGTGCAACACAAAATGATGCAGATTATTGATACTTGGTTAGTGGTGGTAGTTAAAAGCCAAGAATTCATTCATTTAGTAATATGCATAGATAGGGATACCATTTGCTGCTTTTAACTGTAAGCTGAAAAGTCCTATTACAGGTCATGAAAAAAGGTTTACATTCAGAAAGTGTAAGAAATCACGCACTCGACATCAATCTAATAAACTTGGAAACTAGTGGTATAATCATAAATATCTTGCTTCCTTCTTCGGGAGAAAAGATGCAAAAGGACAGTAGTATGTTAATTTCGACAAACTCTACACTCCCCAAACTATATAAGTAAAAGGCCTCTTTGTTTTCTTAAGGGGGATAGAAATAGTAAATAGTAGTACCAATGAACTACATTCAACTTTAACATTTCCTGTTTCTATAGATTTTCTTTACAGATAAAATTGCAGCAATTCCCGACATCCTGATCAAATGGTTCCAAATTCTGAAATTTGGCCTAACACCCTATCTACGTATACCACTAAGAAATAAGCCTCAGAATAAGTACATGAATAAAAGTAGCAAGTGAACCAAAGAATAGGATAGACCTCAATATAACATTTCTGCTAACTGAAGGAAACCTTTTTATTCACCCCTTACAATGCTCATAATAACCATTTCTGAAATTAAATCTGACTGTCCGTCTATGGTGGGCTGGTAGCCCATGTTTGCATGTTACTTAAGTTGGTCCGTTAAATTTGATTAAATCAGCACAAAGTCAAAATTGGCGGCATGCCTGCATCAGTTTTAGCTCCCCACCTCTTTTTTGGGGCTCTAAAGTAAAATATAACAATACATAGCACCTTATCTATTATTTCATTATTTTCATGCTACTATTACTGCTAATATGTTACTCACTTTTTAGAAAGGTTCTCAATGCGCACTTGAATGGTGGCGTTGACCAATGTTTTAAAAGCATAAATTTGCAATTCGCCATCAAAAGAGAGAGTAACCTCTTTAGCAATGGCTAGTGCTTTTTTATCCCACCATGTCCCGGCGAGGGAGATTCCACCACCTGCGCCGCCATCACCTGCCTTCGAAACACGCAAAATCATATCATATTCCACAAAACACACACACACACGAATCTAATTTTGCAACAAAACCTACATAAGGCACACCAGCCTCCTCTTCTCCGTCGTAGTACTCGTCGCCGTCGTCTTCATCCTCTGCAATCGAGAACTCCAACGGGAAGTTCGAGAAGAGAGAAAAAGAATGAAAAGCGAGAGAATGAGCGCAGTTGTACCGTACTGAAATTCGTCGAGGAAGTCTTCTTCTTCGTCGTCGAATGATAGCTCTTGGACAATGGAGGGTTCTAGAACGGGCTCTGAATCAGAGTCTCTCCTTCTGCCACGTGGAATGGGAGTGCAGGGAGATGTAGAAAACTGAAAGGAGAAATTTGTTGCAGAGGCAGAGAAGAAGCGAATTCTACTCGGAGTGATAGTGATAAGTGGTGGTGAGGGAATTACACTTACGCAGGGGCTCAATCTCCAAACCTTAATCAAATCCATTTCGCTCCAACAAAACCAGTGCAAGGGCAAAACTGCAAAAGCTCTCTACAACAGGTAACCAAAATACCTCCTTCGGCTTTGGGCTCAACGGGCCCAAGCCCACATGTCCAATCGCATTCCTTTATAGAAGGAAAGTTAGGGCTTCTGTAAATAAGTTTATGTAAAAAAAAAAAAAAATACTAAATTCTTGAAGAAGTTATATGGTAAAAAAAAAAAGTGAAAGCTCCAAACTGAATTTCATAATTTTTTTCTCTCTTTCTTTTTTATAAACACTTTATTACAGTGTGAATAAAACAATTTTTTATTTAAGTGAAAATCTTGAAATAATTAAGTAATTAACAGCACAATTTTATCCATATACTAATAATACTAGTATACTATACTAGTGTGTATCTATACTAATATATAAAGGAGATATTCTTTTTAGTAATTACTTTACTTTTTACAATTTTTAGATCATTATATCTTTTTATTTTAAAAAAATTAGAAAAAATATTTTTTTATATCAAATTTAAGAACTTAAAATTAATAAATTAATCATAATACAAATTAAATTAATATACTTTTATTATTTAATTTTTATTTTTAAATATATGGATCATTTAATTTTTTATTTATTTTTTAATAATTACTTTTTATAAGTAATTTTTTATTTTATTTTTATTTTTTTTAATATTATACAGGTGAGTATCTTTTTTATATATTAAAAAAAAAGGTAAGCAAAGGAGTTAAGGAGTTGCAATAAAAGTTGGCATAAAGACAAGAAGCAACTTCTAAAACGGTGCGTTGAAGCGAAGAGCTCGTGGTGCAGGTTGGTCGTGGATCTGAATTGTGAATTGCGAAGTCCGAATCCCTGCTCCTTATTTGCCTTCACTGCAGTTGAACGATTCATCTTCACGTAAGATGGTGCTCACATCCTCTGCGCGTGATTACATCAACCGCATCTTACACGACATCTCCGGCATGAAGGTTCTCATCCTCGATTCTCAGACGGTACGCTGCAATTTCCCTCAACGATCTTCCACAATGTCCATAAACCCGATCAAAATGTCGACTAATCATTTTATTTATTTATTTTTCTTTTCAATAAAATGATACCTTGTTTGCCCACAGATGGATCGATTTTTCGTACTTATTTATTTATATATATTTTTTCTTTTCAATTTTCACTCTGAATTATGTACAATTAAGTGCCACTCGTGTAGTTCGAATTATCTATTTGTAGGTTTGGGACCACCGTGCAGTGACGGTGAGGCTCAGCATCATATCAATATACGTATTTTTCATTTTTGTTTCGAGGGAAACAAAAATTTGAGGCACCATGCATTTGACAATTATAATAGTTTGATCGATTATTATGATATTGGCCTCTTTTGAAATTATGCTAATAATAATAAGTTATAATGTTGATATGTTTCTGTAAAGTCATTACCTGTGGTTTTATAGCCAAGTCAATAAGGAGTTATGGCTTGGCTTATACTATTTTGTTTTAGTTCGTAAAAACCATAAGTCAACATGTCGAAGGTACTTGGTTTGTAGAATTTATTTGCTTATGCTTGTTAAGGAGGAACATGATCTTATGATGTTGAGTCCACGTTTTTGTAACATTGATGCAGGTTGGTATTGTGAGTGTTGTGTATTCACAGTCAGAGCTTCTTCAGAAAGAAGTGTTTTTGGTAGAGTTGGTAGATTCTATTTCCAAGTCAAATGAATCAATGTCACATCTCAAGGCCATTTATTTCCTTCGACCTACATCAGAGAATATCCAGCTTTTGCGCCGCCAGCTGGCTAGTCCCAGATTTGGAGAGTATCACCTATGTATGTTTAAATTTTTGCTTGAATCTTAGATAAGCTATACAGTATACAGCAATCCACCCTTTAGAATTTAATTTATAATTTCCCCTTGTTGGTTAGTAATTTTCTCCCATTGATTTGAAGACACTTTGTGAATCCATTCTGAAATTACAGTTTTCTCCAACATATTGAAGGACACTCAGATTCACTTACTTGCTGATTCAGATGAACAGGAAATTGTCCAACAAGTTCAGGTAGCTGTTTATGTGTGCACTGTACTGTATAATTTATTTCTCCCCCTTTGGACTACTTTGCTATAACCATTTCATGTTTTTTTGAACTGTGATAATAATTTTGTGGCGATAGGTGCTTGTCTTAGAATTCGTTTTAAAATTGATAAGAAAATTACAAATCATTTCATAGTACTCTAAAAATATTATAAGTTTTCATGAAAAAGTCCTGGATGGAAGGATATCTGCTTCTTTCTTATTCCTCCAACAATTGCGTAGATTTCATATTCACCATCTGGTTCTTTATCGACAAATGATTCCACACTGTGTTGAGCATGAAACCTGAACTGCCCCCCAACCCTCTGTGTTGCAAATTGCAATCTCAAATGCTGGGGTTTGTGTTGCAAAGTTTAATATTGACACAGTTGTTGTCCTGATCATCCAGGAGTTCTATGCAGACTTTGTTGCCATTGATCCTTATCATTTCACTTTGCACGTGCCTTCACATTACATATATATGCTCCCAGCTGTGATAGATCCTACAACAGTGCAGCGCTTCTGTGATCGGGTTGTTGATGGTCTTGCAGCTGTTTTTTTGGCATTAAAACGAAGACCAGTAATTAGATATCAAAGGACATCTGACATTGCAAAAAGGATAGCACAGGAAGCATCTGTGAGTTCAAGTGTTCAAAATAATTTTTCTAACTCACTGCATTTTTTTTTTTTTGTTTATGTTAAATAATTGTATATGCATTGTAGCAATGTAGTTACTAGTTTCTGCATTGAATGCAAGCTTTTACATCTTCATCATTTATATAATTCTGAATCAGATAGAGCTTTTCTTTGAGCACATGCATACTTCTGTAACACATAGTCAATCCATATACTCTTTTGGCTGGCATTCTGGCAATGTGTGTTTCACAGTGTGTCATATTTATCATTAGCGAATAGAGATTGTTCTGGCATACATAGTGAAAACTAATTCACATTACTGGGCTTGAACAGAAACTTATGTACCAAGAGGAAAGTGGTCTTTTTGATTTTAGGCGAATGGAAGTTGCTCCATTGTTGTTGGTGATTGACAGGAGGGATGATCCTGTAACCCCATTGCTAAATCAATGGACCTATCAGGTATCTGTGAGATTAACACAAGTCTAGTGCTTATAATCTGATAAGTTATTTACTCATGTAAGTAATGCTCATTTATGGTATATTTACTGTACAGGCTATGGTTCATGAACTAATAGGAATCCAAGATAACAAAGTTGACTTAAAATCCATTGGTAAAATTCCAAAGGATCAGGAGGTTGGATACATTTCTTAAACTGGGTAATTATGTCATAAGTGTATAGCAGTATAGATTTTGTGCTCATTAAAAAATCAATGTTTTTGCTATTTCTTGTTACAGGAGGTTGTGTTGTCATCAGAACAAGATTCCTTTTTCAAAACAAACATGTATGAGAATTTTGGAGACATAGGTATGAATATCAAGCGGATGGTTGATGAATTTCAGCAAGTGTCAAAAAGTAGCCAAAACATCCAAACAATAGGTTTGTATTTTTTATTCTCTCACAAATCAGAGTAATAAATTTATTTCACCTGTTAATATTACAATGATAGAAACTTAATCATACCTGGTGGCATAGTATAAAATTCACTGATTTTATGATTTGCCTCTTGGCAGAGGACATGGCCAAATTTGTTGACAATTACCCCGAGTACAGAAAAATGCACGGAAATGTGACAAAACATGTGACTTTAGTAACTGAAATGAGCAAGATAGTTGAAGAGCGGAAACTTATGTCAGTTTCACAAACAGAACAGGAGTTGGCTTGCAATGGAGGGCAAGGAGCTGCTTTTGAGGTATATAGTATATAGTCTTAATCATAGTATTCAATAGTGGGCAATAATGTTGCTAGAGTGGGATAGGTGGATTGCAAAGCAGCTTTCAATAGCGACCATATTGGCTGCAATAAGGGCCAAAAATTAAATTGCATCTTTATGTGAGCTAAAGTGGCGCTACATTGATATGGGCTTCAAAAACCCAATTTTAGCCCTTGAACATTACTGTTTGTTTTTCTTTTGGGTGAAATATTCCACAAAAAGTTACCTCCGTTTTGACCTCTTTCTTCAAGCTTTATAAGACAACTTTTTATCCTATGTTTCATTCTATCTTCTTCACATCATGCTAATCTTTTATCTCATTTGTTATGCTCTTTTTCTATTCATTTCACCATCATTTTTTTTTTTTTTTTTTACTTTATTACTATGTTTAATTTCTCCTAGATTAATGGTGATTGTGTGTCAACTGCAGCTTATCATTTATCATGAATTTCTTTAATTTTGGTTTTTTGTTCTGTTTTTCTTGAGTATTTATGTGTAATTTAGTTTGTATTATAAATATAATATTTAAAATAATGGTCACCCTGCATCCTGCTATCTCGCAATAGCATTTTCAGAGTTAGCTGCTATGTGCCGCTATGTGAGATTGATAACTATAGTCTTAGTTTATTGAAACATTCTCCTTTGCTTGTGCTCAAGTTTGAAAAGTTCTTGATGGCCATTAAATAAATGTTAAATTAATCTGTTAGTCCCTGGATTATTTGGATGTTTTTAAATAGATTCCTATACATTAAAAACTTGTAATTGGGCACCTGGAACTTATAAATATTTTTTTATTGGGTCCCTTGGCTAGGGTTATGTCAAAATTAGACAGAATATTCTTGTTCCCTGTTACGTATTTTAAAAGTAAAAGTAACTATATGAAAAATCTCAAAGAGTTTACTGTAGGGACCTTTTGAATAATTAAACCTAGCAACTTAGTCCCTAAACTATTTAATAAACTTCAAATAGGTTATTTCCCTTTTAAAAGCCATAATAGGGTTTAAGAATATTTAACTTTGATGGAACCTTAGACCAAGGACTCAATTAAAAATGATTGGAATTGACTCGTCTAAAGTAAGGGAAGTACATTTGAGGATAATGTGCTCTAATAGTCACTGATTAGAAAATTGATGATTAAAATTGTTACTATTCAAATTTTGTTATAGTTATACATGAACTTGATATCTATCACAATCTAAATCATTATTACTTAATCAATAATGATTGTAAGGGTATTTTATCTTCTAAAGTTCACTTCTCACTTTAGAGGAGTCGGACTCAAAATGTTTATAAGTTCAGTGACCTAATTACAAGTTTTTAAAGTATAGGGATCTATTTCAAAAATTTTAGATAGTGTAAGGACTAGCAGTTTAATTTAACCTTAAATAAACTAGGGAAATGTATTACTTGTACTAGTTAGTAGTACTAACTTGGATAATACCACTGGGAGTTTGTTTATTACTTACTGCATAATAACTGACACAGTGGAAAATTATATCTATTAGGACAAGAAAATCCTTTCAAATTTTGCAATGTTTATTGTAACTTGTTTCTGTTGTGCTCTGCTCATGTGACTAGTTTCTGTACTTCTTTGGGCAGTTCCAAGAAATCCGAAATTAATCTACAATAGTTTTTTTCATTTCAGTTCAGATATTTGTTAGAATGTATATGTTATTCTTCTTGTGATTATTCTACTCTCTTAGCTTCATATGATATCCTAAGAATCCATAATCTTCATACGGTGTTCCTCAGAAATTACTATTTTCATTGATTAATCGAGTTATTGTCACTTATTCCATACTCACATACTCTGTTGTTTTTCAACGTGGTATTTCTTCAGTCACATTTGAATTTCCAGCAATTATATAAAGTAAAAGCAACAATCAACAGTAAAGTATAAGAGTAAAGAATCATTTAATAATATTCATCTTTATTTTCACTTGGCAAAAAAATCCGTGTATAACATAACAGAATATGTTGTATATAAAGAAGTCTTATTATTAAAACCTCGTCCCTCCACATAAAAATGTTTTCTATTTTTCCTTGTTAATTGTTATTATGTGTAGTGATGAAAGCTTTAAAACCATAAAGGTGATAATTTATGTCTCTAATGTAATCTTCTTCAGGCAGTGACAAATCTATTAAACAATGAAAGCATATCAGATGTGGACCGACTACGGTTGGTCATGCTGTATGCTTTAAGATATGAGAAAGACAGCCCTGTTCAATTAATGCAGCTCTTCAACAAACTGGCTTCCAGATCTGCCAAGTACAAACCTGGGGTAAATTAGTTTAAACTGTTCCTTTCCTTCTGAAATACACTTTTCTCATGCATGAATGAATGAATTTCAGTCCTTATTGCTTAAATCTTATGGGAACTCAACTTTCAATCCTTGGATAATTAAGTGGTGATGGTAAGATATTTGGGGTTCCATTGTCTTTCCATATTACTGGCTTTGGATTCTCAGTAGAAATTTACATTCAATTAGATTAAAATTTAAATTAAGAGCAACATATAGATGGATGCCACTGTTGTTTTTGATATGGTTACTGATATTCATATCTTTATTGTGGCACAACAGCTTGTCCAGTTTCTTCTGAAGCAAGCTGGTGTTGACAAGAGAACAGGTGATCTTTTTGGAAATCGAGATCTAATGAATATTGCCCGTAACATGGCTCGTGGTTTGAAGGTATGTCTAGAAATATTACAATTATCATACCATATCCTTGATGATCCAAGTCTTCAATCTTAAAAAATCTTGCTTTCCGAGTTTTGGTTCAGGGTGTTGAGAATGTTTACACCCAGCACCAGCCACTTCTGTTTCAAATCATGGAAAGCATTGTTAAAGGGAGGTTGAGAGATGTGGACTACCCGTTTGTTGGAAATCACTTTCAACAAGGAAGGTTTGTTGCTATTAAATATAATCTCTTCATCAGTTCATTGTATCTTATTTGTGAATTTCTGGATTAAGTCATGTAACTTGGTTTCTATCCAAATTAGTGATGCCACTACATTGTAATGTGATATTTAAAATAATGGTAACAAGGTTTTTAGCACTGTATATTTTTCAAATTGATGTAGAATATTATATTTCAAATTTCAATTGTCTACTACATAATGTGGCACCATTTATGTAATAAATTGCATCAGAAATTCAACATGTAATGGGGTAGGACAGGCTTTGCTTTGGGGACACATTAGTCAAGGTGACCTATCTTCAGTCTTGATGACACATTATTACCTGAGTTTTTATAGTGGGTTCACACACTTGATGAGTACAGGTTTCAACAATTCTTATACTTTTAGTTAGTTTTATTCATAGTGCAGAACCTCATAATAGCTTGGTGGCTAAGGTCTCGGAGGGAAGACAAATACTAATCCTGTTCAGCTTATCCATGCATATTTTTAACTTAATCTGTGCTGTTACTGTATATAACTTAAGTGATTGGTAGCATTGACATCATGTGATTTTATCCCTTGCAGCTTTTGGTCTATGCCCTATGCTTTTCATACCCTCTCACTAATCTGTAATATTTTTTTGGTGAATTCACAAATCTGTAAATTATGTAATCTGTTAAATGTCTTGTGTTTGGCTAACAGCTGCAAGAGTAAACTATACTTTTGAAGTTCTTTGTTTATAAGCTTAGAAACGTTTTTGAAAACTTTTCTACCTGCAAATATTCCTTATTTTTAGTAAAGCAATTTTCAAAAGCACTTCAAGCTTGTACCAAATATACTCTTAATTTGATTAGTTATCTGATGATAATGGTATTGCAGGTCTATCTGAATTTTTTTATGCTCTGTGTTTTATAAAGGATTATTTAGGAGTTTGGAATTTTCAGTGCACAGTTTTCTGTCTAGTATCTGTTCAACATCCTGAGTCCCGACTCCTGATAGATCATCTATGAAACGGCTTTTTGACCTATACACACATTGTGCATGTGTAATAGAAGTTTTTTAGTTTTACTAATAGCCATTGTTATCATTGAATTATGGAATAATCTGATTTATGTGGTTGATGACTGCATGAAAAGCAGGCCACAGGATGTGATAATCTTCATTGTTGGTGGAACAACTTACGAGGAATCAAGGTCTGTTGCTATGCAAAATGCCAGCAATACCGGCATTCGTTTTATACTTGGTGGCTCTTCTGTTCTTAATTCTAAAAGGTATGATTAAGTCATACAGATAGTTTGGATTTAAATAGTGGAGACGTTCATTTTTGTTGGATCCAATTTTGCTTTCAATTTGGCCTGCTAGAAACCGATACAAATTTGTCAATTGACGGTTCCAATTGTCTTGTGTAATGTATTGATTGCGAAACTTGAAAGTAGCCATAGTTTGGGCTAATTAGTCAGTTTAAATGTTGCTTGATGTGAGTTGCTGCCCTAGGTTTAGGTGATAAAGTTAATTGGGTTGGTCTTCAATCTGTCTTACATATTGATGCCTTAGTTATATTTGGTTGTAAATTGATTGGTTCAGGGTGCTTTAGTTAACTGCAAAAACATTCAACTTGTTCTGCACTTGGTAACATTTTCTATTTGAATTTACAGGTTTTTAAAGGACTTGGAAGAAGCTCAAAGGGTAGCTCGTTCTAGCTCCAGTCTTTGAAGTTTATCCTTCCATATTTTGCATCTTGAGGGCCAGATGTAGTTTTTACAGCCTCAGGCTGGAGATTTCTGCTTTGAACCCATGTATATGTATTAAAAGATGTTGCAGAAGGAGCTTGATGTGCGGAATCAAACGCAATCCATTGTTGCTGCAGAAGACGATCATCAACCATTTAACAGGTTAGGTACTAGTTAGTTCGTTCCAGATGAATGTCATTTGAGATAAAAGTATGAGAACTTCAAGGACAAACCATCCGCCCCTCTCTTTTGTTCGTGGGGAAAAAGTAGACAACGGAACAGATAGGTACAATGAAAGAAACCTTTTTGTGTAATTTTTGGTCATCACTTTGGCTGATCAAGTCAAATGGTTTAATCGACACGTTTGCTAATGAAAGAACAATTTTGTATAATCATGTAATGAATGTCCATTCTTTTGTATACCAACAGATGTCTTCCATTTGTAGATTTACGAATCCATAATAAGTTCAGGCTGTGAGACTAAGATGTGATTAATATCATTTATTATACAATGCATTTGTTAATGCCATTTTGTTTGTGTTGGAGAATGTCATGCAAAGATCAGAGTACTTCTGGTATAATATTATTATTTTCATTTCACGCTGTTGTCTTTTCATCGAGTCTAGATCGAACTTGCATTTTTAATTCAAATTTAAAAGTAATTTCTCAATAGTAAAGGTCTTAGAAAAAAGATATTTAAATGCATCAGGTAAAAACTTGTGCGGTGGCGGAACATGTAGGATTATGTTAAAACAATGTGATCATGATGAGATTAAAACCTAAAATTAAGTAATTAATGTACGCTGCTCTAGAGTGGAAATGAGTTATATTTCATTAAACAGTCTTAGATTCGATTCCAAGACCCGTGATGTTAAAAAGGAATCCCATTGAGACACCTTCAGTTGGACGCCACATAGTATTTCAAAATATTATTTTTTTTTTCATTTTTAATGATTAGAAAGAGCTAGCTTTTATACATAGTAAAAGAAACTTTATATGTTTTTAGTTATTTGTAAAATTTTGATTATAGTCTTTGAACAAATTTTTACTCCTTCAAATTTTATTAATTTTCAATTTTAGTCTTTAAATTTTTTCTTCGGTTAATAATTTGGTTCCTAATGTCAAAAACATTTGTTCATAGAAAAAATTATTTTCAGGACTAAAGTCAAATAAAATTTGTTCAAAAATTAAAAATAAAATTGAGTTGTTACTTACCAAATAAAATTTGTTTAGAGATTAAAAATAAAATATATTTAATCCAACTTTTTTTAATGTGAAATATTTTTTTTATAAAATAACTTTTCTTACCATATACATACTCGATAATTACATATGTGAGTTGTTACTCTAAATGTATTTTATATACAATGACAGCAAACTTAATATAAGAGTTTATTACTTTGAATATAACCTTATTTAACATCACTAAAATTATATTTTCCTATTTGGTTTTCTAATTTAAAATTTATTGAGATAAGAAAAAAATCAGAAAAAAATATTAAATCATAACCTTTTGATTAAATATTTAAAAATAAGCAAATACAATTTTGTTCCATTAGTTGAAGACTTGAAGGAACACAAATAAAATTACAAAATTACGTATATAGTATTAGTTGAAAAGAACTCAAGGTATTTTTTGTTAATCATTATACATTACATTAGACATCCTTAACAAAGAAGACAATTTTATGGGCATATATATTATCGATTCCTCGACGACTAGATTTATCAAGAGAAATATATTTTTTTTTTCACAGTCCTTTCATGCCATAAATTTGTAAATTAATTTTGAATTTCTCGAGTTGTTTACTTTTTATATTTATTTCATCGTATCATTATTATATTATTTTTATTTTCATTTTTTTTATACTTACACTCCCTGAAACAGTGCAAAAAATCAGAAAATCATTATTCTATTCAACATTTTCACTTTTTTAAACGAGCGAACATTTTTAATATATATATATATATATATATATATATACTTCTCTTTTATTCTATTATTAGTGTGTCGATGTTTTTTTAATACACCTCAGTCAGTGAAAGTAGTGAACGATTATTAAATTTTTTTAAAAAAAATTATATGTCAAAAGAGGTGATGTCTATGATGGAGAAGTTGGACAAGTGGTCCATGGATGGTGCATTTAAAATCACCATAGATATAATATTAAAAACAATGAATGGTTGAGATTGTGATTTAGTGAGAAGATATATTGTACACCTTCATACACTGGATAAAATTTCTGAATATTTTACTGAAATTTTTTTTTTTAATTACCTATAAAAAAAAACACGTATTACGATGACTGAC